TAGTAACAGCACTTCTCTTAGTATCTTTCTTATTAATTTGAGTAGGCTCTTTTTTTAGTGACTTTTAACTTTGATGTTGCTAAATATGGCCACACTCTGAGAGACTCTCAGTACTGGTGAATCTGTTTTCCTGGAATATCTTGTGTTGTTTCCTGAATTGCATGATTGTGTGACACCTGCTCCACATCTCATATGTGATCGACTGAGTAGGTACAACCGTGGCAGATGGCTGATGACTCACCTCACAACACTGAACACTGGTTTGCTTTCTGAGAAACAACATCTTCATATTAATTTTCTAAGAGTCTTGTAAATATGTGACTGGTCTGCCTGGTTTGATAGCAGGTAACGTAAGTTACAGGAAATGCACAGGGATGCAATAGCAACATTTACTCTAGGACTGGGGGTAATATTTTAAAATTCAATTTACGGGCTACTACAAGATAAATCCACAAAAGGAAATTAGGTTCACAGCTGTATTTTCTAAATTTTAGGAATCTAAATAGCAAAATCTGGATTCCTGAATCAGACAGAGATCTAGGCTTCCTATGCAAAGGAGAAACAGAATAACATCCACAGAAGCCATTCACTTGGGTGAGGAACAAGGAAACACCAGAGAAAAGGTGAAGATCCAGAGAAAGGATATACCTTAAACTCTGTCCCCTCTTGTGATTTGACTGCTCTGTTCCAGGCTGGAGGGAATACCATGAAGATTCACAGATCACAGACCTGGGTAGAAGGACATTCCCAGCAGGTCTAACATCCTATGATAGATAACGTACGCAGCTGCTATACCGGAGACCTTTGTTCCGTTCCCTCCTTTGTTGACTGTCAGATTAAAACAGGCACAGCCCAGCTAGCACGTGTAGCTTGTGTAGGCTAAATTCTGATCACTTGTAAGAAAACTTTTTTTTGCAAGAACCCACAAGTTTACCTATAATGACATCACCTCACAAAGTTAATTTTGTTTGTTACTAAAATTAAAGAATCTCGGTAAGAGTTTGTTATCCCCTCTCATTCTTGCAGGCTCCTTGGCCTGTCAGAACAAGATGACTGGAGGACACTCCAAAGAGCCATTCCATTTATAGCTCTATATACCAAGGCACCTCATGCATATATTAATTTAAAGCTAAATATTCTTATATATATTACAATAGCTTAAAAATCAATAAACATCAACTTACTTGCACACACATGATTTCCGTATTAAAAATGTAAGTAGTGTTAGAACAACCACATCCATATCCAAATCCTTTAGGATCAAAAAAATCCATGCCAGTGTCACAAACATCACATCAAAATGTGACCACCCAGTTTAAAGATGCCCCAGTCCCAAAGATTAACACATTAAAATGCTTTACTGGCCTGTTTTGTTGTTGTTTTTTTTTTTTTGTTTGTTTGTTTGTTTGTTTTTTTGGTTTTTGTTTTTTTTAAATCTCTCTGTGGCAGGGATGTGTCATTCCCATTTCCACTACCCTTATGTCAACTAATAAAAGTTCCTGATGAGCCAAGTCTCTCAGAGGCTCAACTGCTAACACCATTAACATTACCAAAGACCTGTGCAGGACTAACAGCTGTGTCCCAAGGAAACTGAACTCATACCTTCCATTTTCACATAAACTGCCCTGAGTATCCCAGGAAGAAAAGAAGGGAGGAGACGATGGGTAGAGAGGAAAGAAGGAAGGTGTCATTGCTGATTCTGACTCATCCCATATGGAACATATATTAATCAGGTCTGACAGAAGATGCCAGAAAGGGTGAGCAGGTCTATAATCCAGTAGTTACAAAGACATACTAATTCGATTACAGGCTTGAACATAGTTCTCTTTCAAAGGTGAATGCCATGTCCAAGAGTACTTGGAGTCATGTTCTCCACTCCTCTAGCCCAAGGTATAGTCCTCTAAAAAATAATAAAAGTGCTTCGGCAGAAAATATTTAAAATACCTCTGTCCAGAACAACCTAGAACTCAGTAGCCAGAGCTATAGCCACAGAAATGGACCACAGCATTCATGCTCCTGGCGACAGGAAAGAAAAGTAAGCATGTCTGCCCTACATCCTGGGTAATATTTCCACTACCAGGTAATACCTCAAAGGGAAACGGCCTCTATTCTATCATTTTATGGGCACCTGTGGGTATGTTCCTAAAATATCCTCTGTGGTGACTCCTGCTGCAGGACTTTAGACATTAGAAAGGCATTGATAAGCAGCATTAAGACAAGAGCTTTAGTTGTGTTTAAATGATCAATATGGTTAGTTTCTCTAAACTATTACAGTCTGACTACTATCTTCTGCTAAGCATAAAGAAAATTCTTAAAATGGTACCAGTATCGCTTCTATTCCTTGACAGTTGGTAACTAAAAACCTCAGCATGCCCCAAACCAGCAAAAGTTGAGTCTCCCTCCCCCAGATGGTATGTAATGGTGGTAGTTAATTCACACAGAAAAATATCTTTTGGGGTTGATGCTTCTCTCATAGTAATTTTATGTCATTCAAGTTCCACTAACAACTGTTGAGTTTACACTATGGTGCCAAAGAGGTATATTAGATCCTTCAACTTCAAACTATCCAGAGCTTACTCAGCTCATTTGGCACCTCTGTGTTGCTGACACATGAAAAACTTTAACAGATGGTCTTACAATACTGGCAGTTGTTTTGTACTGTGCTAGTGCTGATGGGAAATACTCTACACAAATTGTCTGCAATTCTGGAAAATAAATGAAGTACAAATCCATATTAACCTCAAAAGCCAAACTATAAAAAGTCAGATTAGTCACTTAACGATGTATGTACTCTAGGTTAAATGCTCAGTTGCTGCAAAATGGTAGTATTTCCCTGCAGCCACGAGAACAATGCTTTGCTTCAGTTTCTACCAGGAATATCCATAAAGACTGTATCATTAGAAAGGTATTGAAATGCATTAAGAATAAGCCTTGAGACCCTTGCTCATGTGATCAGCCCTATCAGCAAAAGTACCTCCATAAACTGGATATTATCACATAAATAAATTACAACCTGTAGCTTCACTAAGTTAACCGAATCTCTTTTTTTTTTTCCGTGCCAAACAGAATTCAAGAAATAACATATCAGCTACCGTGCAGATGTTGAAATCAACAGCGACAACCAACTAAACAGCAATTTTACATTTTTTCCTCACCCATTTAAAAAGAGCTGTACATACCACAGGCTGAATTTTATACTCACTAATCTCACTGGCTGCAGTGGTACTTGAACTGGGCATAAAACACCAGAATTGCTCCTCATTGTTTCTGTGTGGCTAAATTTGTCTCTTTTATTGTCCCAAATTATCAGATATATCAACTGGGTTGAACTAGTAAACCACCTATTCAGAATAGTGCTTTTTAAAAGTAAACCCAACAATTTCCTTCAACAGTATATAACCTCCACAAAACGTATGTTCACACATACGTGTTACAGTCTACTAGTGCAAATTTAGGACAGGCCCTCATAAAAACACAAATGTTTTAGTCCAATGCTCACCTATTCTATTTGCTTTAAATGAAACAGAGCTCAAAACATATTTCAAACTGAGATTTCAGAGGCTTGGTGATTCAGTTCCCATCCATTTCAATATATTTAGTCAGATAATATGTCAGTCACCTTGCACGTTATTTTCACGATGTTAGTTACATTGAAATATGGTTCCTTTAGGTAGCTTCTGTGCCCTAGAAGAAAGTAGAACCCTAAAAGCATTATCATAAGAGAGTCCTTCAAATGCAAGAGGTACATTGCAGTCTTCTGCTGGGACTGAATCAAAACTGTATCGATTAAAAAAAAAAAAAGTAAAATTATCCACTAAGGTAGCTTAAAAAACATGCTTGCTAGAACTAATTGGTGTTATACATGTGTGACTTTGATAGAAATTAAAAGATCTTTATCAGTTTTATGTCTAATTTTATACCGAAGGATCCAACAACTCCTAAGTCTGAAGCTATTAGCAAAAGAAGTATTAAAACTGCTAAATTTCAGATAGGTTTCCTGTTTCCCTTTCCTCCCTCAGGACTTTTGCCAGACCAAGATGACACAACATACTTCCAGAAAGTACTTATACAAATGCAAGATAATCCATCTCTGAAAGCATAAATTATTTCTCCTCGTAAAAAGAAAAATCAAAAGAAATGTTGAACAGACACAGTCAAAACGTAGGAACATCAATCCCTCTGCTTCTCTTCCCAGGCGTAAACATTTTGTCAAACATTTCAAGCTATGATCTTCAATGTAGCACTTCACTGTGAAATTCCCAGGAAAGGAGTTAGTATACATATTTTAGTACCAATAATGCAAGCACGTCTTATCCTGGGAAGAGGTCCTCCCTTACAGATGCGGAATGTGAGATAACATGATGGGAAAACTTCACGATTATTCTTCCAGTTGCGGAGAGCCTTCCCACCTTCTACAAAAATGGGTCATGGCTATCCCCTTCTTTGAGCCCATCCTCTGCAGAGCTCAACCACAGGTCCACAGTGAACAACTGCTGCTCTTGGAATGTATAGAAACCTTTCTGGCAAGAGGGACATGAAATGAAAGGAGTCTCTTGGGGAAACAAAACGCACGAGAAAGGAGAGAGGAGCACAGGGTTTATTTTATCCATTATAACAAAATCCACCAGTCTACTAGACACCTTCTAGGGAAGTTTCAAATAGTCTTGGACTAAACAATAATAGAATCATCTGCCTACAGCTGCAAGCAAAGGTCATTTTTAATGATCTGGAGTGCTACATATGGTAAAATAGTAGATTCAGGAGATTTAGAAATCTAAAAGATAAAAAAAGCCCAAGTGCACCATTTCCACAAAGAGATCGCATCTGTTAGTGAATGAAGATCTTCATGCTGCAACTCATGTCCCAAGCTGGGCATTACTCAATTCTGATATAGCAAAATCCCATGGAAGCAAAACACAGATTATCTTTGTGATTTATCTTTTTGCCCTCCCTATCTAATATTTTCTGAAATAACATCCAAAATCTTTCTTCTTAAATACCTTTATGGTTTCAGTAGGCACTCCAGGCTCCGGAACTTTATCCAAGTAAGTAGTCAAGTCTTGATCCACATGTTCAAACACTAATGTTAACTTGGTCTCTCTGTCTGTTCGTGACACGGTGCACACATCAAACAATCTGAGGAGGAAAAGAAAAGAGGAGGTAAATACACAGGAACCAGTAAAGACATACATAACTTGCAGTTCACACATGTCTTTTTAAATTTCCTACAGGATATAGAATGAAAAAAAAAGAGCTTTCCAAAGGTAGCAATCTTTGAGCTCTTGATTCATCAGATAACTACTGATACATCAGTAATATCACATCTCTCTTTCATGTGTGAATTCTGAAATAGGATTAAGTATTAAGAATTCAACAACTGTTCAAAGTAAAATAATTACATGAAAAGAAAACATTTTTTGGACAGAGCAACTAGAGTTAATACAGAAAATGACTTGATATTTATCCAAATTCTATGCTGCAGCACTTGGTCACTTAAAAAAAAAAATAGAGAGAAACATTTTTAAAAAAATATGCAGAGTGTTTGCATGCATCTTCTGTTTCTTCCCACATAACTCCCATGTTCACCATTACACGGCTGTCCTGGGTTGAGTGAGTGGTGGAGTTTTTTGGTGGCAGGGGAGGGGGCTATCGGGGCGGCCCCCTGTGAGAAGCTTCTCGAAGCTCCCCCAGCTCCACGTCAGCTCCACTTCTGTTTGGGAAATTGAGCCAATCAGCTGCGCCTCTGCGATAACGTATTTAAGAAGGGACGTGGTGACGGGCAGTGGGACTTGTGAGGAGGAGTCGCTGCAGCTGCATGAACACCAAGGTCAGTGGAGGAACGGAGGAAGAAAGGAGGGGGGAGGTGTGCCGGAGCAGAGACCCCCCTGTATCCTGTGGTGAGATGGCAGGGCGGCCCCGCCCCTGCCACCCATGAAGATCTACGGTGGAGCAGACATTGATTTACAGCCTGTTGTTCCTGCTTGTCTGATCAAGGTTCTGTGCCCGAAGAAGGCCGGGGTCTCATGGGAAAAGGCAGCCCCGCTGCTGTAATTCAGCGCTGGGAGGATTGCAGCATGCGGGGGAGTCCCACACCGGAGCAGCTCGGGAAGGGCTGCAGCCGTGGGAGGGAATCAAGTCGGAGAAAGTTTGTGGAGGACTGTCTCCTGTGAGAGGGGGACCACGATGGAGCAGGAGGAACAAGTTTTGGACACTCCCCTCACCGAAGATGAAGGAAGTGGCAGCACTGACTGCACCCCCCATTCCCTGCCCCTGGGGGAGGAGGTAGAGATATCGGGAGCAGAACTGAGCTCGGGAAGAAGGGAGGGGTGGGGGGAAGGTGTTCTCAAGATGTGGCAATGCTTCTCACTGTCATACTCTGTTATGTGTCGTTAGTGTCTGTAATAAATGTATGTCTTTTTTTTCTTCCCCTAACGAGTCTGCCTTTTGCTCGTGATCATAAAAGGGGGATTTTTCCCCCATCCCAGTCCTATCTTGAACCCCAAGCCTGGCTCTCTGTCCCTTCTCATTGCCGGAGGGGAAGGGAGAGAGAGCTGCTGCATTGTGGTTGGCTGTCAATCAGGCCTAAACCACGACAACGGCTTTATTAAATCTCCTTTGGCAGAAATACATATTTTTTTGCTGATTACTCCTGCAAGTTCCTGAATGCAAAGAACACCTTCAGAGTCAGGACACAGCCTGGAAAAAATCTTTGCGCACAGGATGCCGTTACTAAGAGAGATTTCTTCTCTGATCACTTTCTGTTATTCTTTTACTGAAATTTCTGTATCATTTCACCTTGTTTCACAACATCAAATTCAAGCTAATTTGCAAAGCTCTTCGTAATGTCACATTCCTATCTGATTACTCCATTTCCTATTGTTTTCTCTTTTTACTTATGATTTCTCTCATCTTTTCCACTTCATCTACAGTACCAACTTTAATGACTGCTTTTATCTTTTTCACAAACATCTGCCCGTCATTCTGTGCTCCACATCTATACTTATATCAGTGATTCTCACTGTCCTTCCTCAAGTCCCACTTCTACAAAATCTCAATAGGAAACCATCTTGCAGATGGAAAGATGCTTGTTCCCTGCTCACATACTTTATTAATGTGCTTATTCATTTAGTAGTTGTACAGATCAGATTGCCTTTTTCTCTGAAGTGAGGCAGAAAATCAATTGCTGCTGTTATTAGGTGACAGTAGATTTTAAAAATGTATGAATACAGTTATTGAGAAAAAAGACTAAACAGTTAAACCGAATAACCTATCATCAATAACAAACCAAAGTAGTGTTGATACTACTGCTTATTTTGATCAACATCACAGCAGTTACATTGTTTTACTACATGCATCTTTCTTCCTCTCAGAATAACTGCTTCCTTACTTGCAAAGTGAAGGATTTCTGATAATGTTATCAAGTAATATTTTTATTCTCTGTTGTAGGACTAAAGGCTTTATATGCAGGATCTGCAGACAAAGGATAACGCACAAAGCCTTGGGGGTCACTGCTTTTCAAAGAGGACATCTGACAGACTAGGAAAACACTGTACTGAGTTTTTATATCTTACCTTGAATCTCAAAATATTTCACAAGAGAAGGGAAGATAAGAATTGGCACAACTATCTGGGAAGACTGTAATCCAGGTTTAAGAGAGCAGTATGTTTCACTGGAGATGATATAGATTTAACGCGGTAAGGCTGTGGTCCCACTTTAACAACATTCCCTAAATAATCTTTGGTCAGACACTTAAAAATTGTTTATTAGACACCATGTTTTGAAAATGGATGCATGATATTCTGTTTAGTCTAAAGAAGCTTTTCGGTGAGTAATAACTGGGGAGCCAGACTTATGAATATGGAGAGACTGTCACCTACCTCTACTAGAAGACTAATCTGTACTTAATCTGTAATCATCATATGAACAAATAATAATTAAATTATGGTAACATAGTGACTGCAACAGAAAATGTATTGGTATATTCCTCATAAAGACAAATACTTTTGTCTTTATGATTCCCTTAATGGGGTATACATGGAAGACAGATGTCCTGTACACAGTAAATCTGTTTTGTGAAAAGTCACAAACCTTCCTGAAAAGTGGAATTTGCTGCTATTTGGCTGGAGGTTAATAATCTGCAATATATTTATATAAATCAATGTGGAATGTAGCCGGACTGCCTGTAACCCCAACACATGCAAATAGAGAGGAGCCAGACAGGTCTGAACATCTGAACATAAACACTGGAAAATATTTCCAACTGTATGATTCCTTTGTGTTGACCTACATTTACCTAAAAATGTTCTAAAACACCTTTTATGCCAGGTATTTAATACACTGGCAAAATTATCTTTTCAACTATAGCAGAATTATAATTCAAGGAAAAAAGGAAAATAGATTTCACTGTATAGAATATAGAAGCAACATACAATTTCCAACCCCCTGTGAAGGGAAATGCTGTTTCTCTGTTTAATTCTTCTGTATGTGGCTTCTTTTGATTCTGGCATTTTCTGCCACAGCAAACTAAGGAACTCAGAGGAGCACAGCTGTAGTCATCTATTACTGAGTAATAATATTATCACTGAGTAATAATATTATCTTTCCTTTTTATACATCTTTTATGTGAAACTCTAAATGCTTTACTGTTAATAATAAAAACTCCAGATCCTGCACCAGGCTGGGTGGAAGCACATTGTGTTTACTCACAGAAAATACAGCTGCTGCCTTAGAAAGATAATAATTTAAAGCTTAGCTCATATGAATCTGCAATATTACAAAAAGACAACATCTGGCATTGCCCATGATAATCATTCTGGAAATAGATTGAGAAAGACACAGCCTCTTTAGTAGTTTCCATAGGGTTAAAACTACTTCTTATAAATTATATTCTTTTATATCCACTGTGACAAAATCATCCATGAAGTTGTCTTCTTTAGCTAGGAACATCTCTGCTGTCTACAGTGCATGTCTCTCAAGCCATTTCCTCATGATTTTCTGTACATGGTGTGTTAGTTTTGTACATGATTGCCCCTCTGGAACAGGCAACAGCAAAAGGCCTTTGATTTTAAAAAGTTACTATGCGGACACCATCCTAAGTGAAGTAAATGTACCTCAATTAATACAGGATTTCCATGCTGAATACTTTGTAAACACAAACCCTGCCCTTCTATTATATTTACAAAAGAAACCTTTGAATTATTTGATTACAGTAAGATCCGCTATGGGAAATCCTGCAACTATGTAACAAGATGTTTGGCTGGGAGTCACACACCACCCGATGCCTTGATCTGAACTGGAACATTGTTGAACAGACACTTAGCGAGTACCTGTGTTTTAATGCAGACATTTTTTCAAATTAATTGTACTAAAGTAAAAAACATCAGCTGCAAATCTCTGTCTCTGTTTTATTTTATGTATCTACTGCCTAGTGGATCTTACTGTAACCTAGCAGAATACCTGCATTCTTACAAAAATACTTTGCGTTTTTTCTTTTTTTTTTGAACACAGAAAACTAGATGATATGTCTTGAATTCTCCATAGTTCTTATAACATATAATCTGATAAATACAACTTCAGTTCATCTTCATTTGACAATATACAGTCTGAATGCTTAATGCTTTTATAAGAAAAGACATAGTTTTGCCAATTCCTTTGAAAACTATTGCATCTACTCACTGGTGCTAATTTAATAACCGCTTCTAGAAAGTCTTTAAATTTTACTGGACTTGCTTTTGACATGCTCTGAAAACTGCTATAAAGTAACCTATGTTAAGAGGGATAAACATTTTTTTCCTGAGCAAACTGAGATAATAGCAATGGAGATCAAACCCATCAGCCCAAGACATATGCAAGAAATACCAAAAACCAAATCTGACTGTATGACCTGAAAAACTGTAGGACATCAGTTCTCTTGGCTACTGTCAAACTGATAAGTAAGTACACCTGGAAAATTAGACAGATCACAGTCAAAGGGAAGATCAAAGAATTAGGTACCTGCTGCCAATGCATCCAAAGGATTGTTATTTTTACTGCAGTAAGACTAATCCAACATGAACACATATCCCTTTACTTTGCTACTCACTTGCAGCACTGAACAAAAACGCGGTCCTTGCCCTCTAAAGTTTCTCAATAACATG